TTTTTGCTTGCTTTACCAAGAATGGCCATACTTCGCTATGTATGTGTGTGTTGGAATTTGAATCACATGACTGGGGGGAAGAGGGCTTAGATTGGTGTACAGTATTTAATAATTTTCTGAGTTTCTGACCTATTGTCTCTTCCATTAGGATGCAATAGGGTTTTTTTCTTTTTCTAGCCAGCTTCAAACTCTCTTTTGGGGAAGGGGGCAGTCCGCCCTTTTTGTATCAAAATTTGATCCTCTTCAGCTCCAGAAAAGTACCGTGTTGACTCCTTTAATTTCACCATTCCGCAGATTGAAAACATGAAACCAAGAAATAAAATTCTGATTCATTTATTTAAAAGATTTTTTTCCATCACATGAACAATTTTTTAAACAAAGTATATCTTATAAAAAGTATAAAATACTGTTTCTCCCTGCAAACTCTTACAGAATCCCTTTGATTTTACAATTGCCTGTCAAAAAAAAAGTTGTATAATCTATACACAGTACTTGCTTTTAATTATGTACCAGGTACAATGCATGCCTCATTCTATCTCATCAGACAAAAAGGAAATTGCCCCCTCCCATGTAATATATTATGAAACTAAGCATTTAGTGCAAACCTGAACCAATTACATCCTGAAATTAAATCACATGCAACTCAGGTGTAATTAAGCCGTAACAGGCAAACATTTTATTATAAAACAAAATAAAAATGATGCTAAATGTTTTTAAACCAAGTATTTTTACACTACACTATACCTCAGAAATTTACAACTTTTTTGTAACAATCAGCAGTTAAATACTTCTGAAAATAAGATTTCTCCATTAAAATATATATTTCCTTTTTTCTTAGGTTATGTACACTTTTTATCTAATTTGTTACTGAAATAATTGTGATAAACACAAAACTTCAGTAAATAGAACCTCCTCCTCCTCTTCCCCCCACCTCCCGGTTTTATGAAGCATATTTCAACAACATTTTTATGAAAGTACCAATATTCTTTCAAGGATTCTTTTGCAATTCCGTTAGGTTAAAATGTGTATTTTATGACATCTCTGTATATCCAGAGTATACTAGATAGGAGACAGAGTAATTAGTTTACATAATTTAAAATGAAACCATGCATTATTAGGTTCATCATGAATAAGACTAATGATTGATTTATGTCAATATTACCAATACCTTCCAGTACATTGTAAGAATACAATTCAATGGCACTAGTGCTGTGGTTATAAATCTAAAGACATAATCAGGGGAAAAATTATATTAGAGACTTATTCTAAGGAAACTTAGAAATGTGTAATATCCTGAAAGAGCTCCAAGTATGTTAGACTACAACTTTCACACGGGGTGAAAATTTTGAGACACAGATCATCTGATGGACATAGTTTGGGAAACACTAAAACCTAATGTTATTTAGATGAATGGCCTGAAAGTAATGACCAGCTTCTTAATGAAGGTAAAAAACAAACAAACCCTGCCTTATAGTTTTATATGAAAATAATGTAGATCAGCTTGGCATTATCTATTGTGAGCTTTACACTTTTATCAAAGTGCAACAAATGGGCAGAACCATTTGTTTGGGGGATTGTTTCTTGCCACTCATGATGGGTCTATGACAGATCCCATCAGCCAATGAATTTCATCTGGTGGGATCCAGAAGAGCCTTTTCTGCTATGGCCCTTGCTCTTTCGAACAATCTTGCCATAGGAGATAAGATCCACCCCTTTTCTTTAAGCCTTTAGAAAAAAAACTTAAAACCTGACTATGCCAGCTGGCATGAAGTCCTGAAGTTGGTTGATGCATCAACAGAAAAGGGAAACCCACCTCTCCAGATTCACGTTTTTCAATTTTTTTTAATGTTTGTAATTTTAATCTGCTTTTATATTTATAATTGTCAGATATTTGTATATCTGTAGGCCACTTGAAGTCGCTTTGAACTGCAAGATGGGTGGCAAGTAAATTTGATAATAATATTTAAAAAATAGCAGACAAAGCAGATAATACGATCTAGCAATGGTTAAGAGTAGGAAAGTTGAAGAAAGAGACCAAGAAGCTAATTCTAGCTGCACAAGACCAAACCTCAAGAACAAATGCATACAATAAATGCATCCAAAGCCAGAGTTGAAAAGACAGTAACAGATAGCGAATCCTGCTACTGCAAAGAAGCTGAAGAAACAGTGGATCACCTGGTTAGCTGCTGCAAAAACATTGCACAAGCTAATTACAAACAACCTCATGACAAAGTAACAACAATGGTACATTGGATGATCTGCAAAAAATACCATTGATGGGACCATAAAAGAGAAAAAGTAATAGAAAATGAAGAAGCTTTGGGACTTTAGAATCCAAACAAACAGGCAAACAGACAGAAAGAAATCTGAATTTCAATATTATCAAAGTGAAAACTGTTAAAACAGTAATTGCAGCTTTGTATTTTGGTCATATAATTAAAATGAGAAGCTTAGAACTTGAACACAATATAGGTGTCCTAAACTTGGGTAATGTTATTGGGCTTATTTTTAGTTTCAAACCTGCCACACCCAGACATAACTGTCTATAACTGAGATGCTTAACCTCTGGGCTTCTGTTTGCAACTGGGCCACGGAAATGAGTGAGCATGCATGTATATTTTCACTTGCGCGTGCAGGGGGAGAGCACATACACACATGCTACATTTAAGTGAGTACATGTGCATGCCAGGAGCACAGAGCTGTGTCTGCATGCACATTTGCTATTCGTGTGCATGGGGAACCATCCCCCTTCCCCTTGCCATTGGGGGATTCTGGTCTATAAGACAGATGAAAAAAGTCTAGATACTGGGATGTGGCAGTACCAGGAGACAAGAGAAAAACTGGAGAAGTTAATAAAATACAAAGACCTGCAGATAGAAACAGAATACCTGTGACAAAGGAAAGCAAAAATAGTTCCAATAGCAATAGGCTCTTTGGGTGCAATCCCAAAACAATTGGAGCACCACTTGAACACCATTGACAAAATTACCATTGGTCAATTGCAAAAGCAATACTCAGGACAACTTACATCCTGCAACAATATCTTTATATAAGATAAAAACTTTTGCTTTGAGGAATGATCTAGTTCATCAAATATCCACATCTGTCAATCCCAGGTCCTTGGGAAGGCCTCGATAAGTGAAAAAAATGCCAAATCCAACATAAGCATCTACCTGATTGTGCAATGAACCATATTAATCAACTTTCTTCAATTTCTTTGTTAAAGAATTAATACACATCAGAAGAAAAAAAGCCATCAGATAGCTCCCACTTTACAGCCTACTGACTAGGTGAAAAGAAATTTTTGATAATTTTAACATGGCTACTTTCCATGTGGCACTTATAATCTATAATTGGGCACATAACTGATTTGAACACAGTAATTATCACATCTAGAACACTTATCACTGGTGGCCATGGCTAGAAAAGTTTTGAAGAGTAGGAACTTTAGGATTTGACAAATAAAATTAACTTTCACAAAAATATCTTTCACACTATTAGATTATCAAATCAAATCTGGCTCTCATAAAAATATCCATGACTATGCAAACAGAATCATTTTATGCTGTCACATAACTTTGAACTCTTTGTTCACTCATAAATTATGCTAGAGAATGATATTAAAAACTGAACCCATTCCTGATGTTAAAAAAGTTGCTTAGCTAAGATATTCCAAACCTGACCATACTGATCCAAATAATGATTCTCAAACACAATAGGAGAGGAAGAGAAGGAGAAGATTTTGATCATTATTGGTTTAGCACAAGATTATCATAAAACACTACTCTGTGTATATTAAAAACTAAGGTAACAAAATCAGGAAAGGGAAGAAACAACCATAATTACTGTACTGGATGAGATTAAATTTGAACTTAAATTTGCAGCCTCATGTATTACTAAAATAGCAACATAAAAACAAAATGGAAAGAAATCCGAATTTCAAAATAGTTATCAAAATGAAAACTCAAATTAAAACATTAAGTATGGTTCTGTATTTTGGTTGCATAATTAAAATGAGAAGCTTCACACGTAAACACAATGTAGGTCTTCCAAAGTTGTGTAATGTTATTGGGCTTATTTTCAGTTTCAAACCTGTGAGTTTAGAAAGGACAACTGGCAGGCATAAAAAGTGCAGTGTTAAATTTATTTTACACTAACCTCATCAACAAATTATACACTATGTAAAACCATTCTTTTCTATTTGGATGAATTTCTGAGGTTCTCGTGGGTATTTGTATGTGGATCTTTGGTTATTCGGGTTTTCTCCCGCGTAAGATTGGAAATATCTAGGCAACGTTTCGATGAAGTCTCATTCATCATCTTCAGGTTTGTGTCTTCAGCTCCGTGCTTCTCAGAGTGTTACCATTCACTCTGAGAAGCACAGAGCCGAAGACACAAGCCTGAAGATGATGAATGAGACTTCATCGAAACGTTGCCTAGATACTTCCAATCTTACGCGGGAGAAAACCCAAATAACCAAAGATCCATATATATATATATATATTTTCATAGATTTTCACGGGTACAGGTATGTAGGTCTAGGTGTGTTCGGGTCTTTTCCCGTGTAAGATTAAGAGTATCCTAGCGATGTTTCGACAAGGTCCCACTCACCATCCTCAGAACCAGGAGATTACAGCACAAGATCCAGGATATCTCCACAACAAAACTCACAAGGCCATCACACAGCCCATTATACCAACATCAACTCCATCAACCAATCAAGAGGCAGCAGCGCAGCCAACCAGCCCGGCACACCAGCCCCAATCACCAGTATTTATAGAGAGACAGCAGCTCCGATCACGCACTGCTTGCACTGGCACGAAGCCGAAAACACCAGCCTGAGGATGGCGAGTGGGACCTCGCCGAAACGTCACCAAGATATTCTTAATCTTACACAGGAAAAGACCTGAACACACCTAGACCTACACACACACACGCACGCACACATACATTTATCTGAAGAGGGATCTTTTTCTGTGAGAAAAATTTTGATTGCACCTTTTCAGGAAAACACTGCTGTGAACCTAAAGATAGCATATTGTACCTATGTTTTCGACAACTTTTTTAGTAACTGATTTACTATATAAATAGGCTATACTTCATTACATCTATCATTAATTTACATGCAATCCAGGAATCTATTTTTATGAAAAGCTAGTGAGTTTGCTTCAGCCATTCTGTCACTGTAAAATCAAAAGTCTATCTATAATCTCCCAAATGTTCCTACATTCGCTGACCCTGTTCCTCCTGAATCTCCTAAATTGGAAGCTCTGAAGTATGCATTATGATTATGGGAACACTTGAAAAGAAACAACTGTATACATATTAGATTTGGTGATAATAAAAACTTTTGCTTGGAGGAATGATGTAGTTCAGTGGTGTCAAACACACGGCCCAAGAGCCAGATTTGGTCCACAACAGGCCACGGAGTTGGCCCATGGGCCATCCTAGAGATGGCAAGGGACTAACCCCTGCCAGCCCGGGCCTGACCATACCCATCCAGTCAGCAATAAGGATCAGACCATACCCACCCTGGCCCCCCAAGGGCAAACAAAATCCCAACGTAGCCCGCGACAACATTGGGTTTGACACTTCTGATCTAGTAATTCCTTCTGATTTCATGGTTGTTTCTTCCTTCCAGATCTGAGTAAAGCAGAACAGGATATATTGCTATCAATCTGCCTGTGCCCAAGCAAACAGAACATCCATTTAAATCTTGTTAGGAAAGACAATCAAGATCTCCTCAGAATTTTCATTTGGTGTCAAACCTTTGGTGTGAGAGGAAATAATTGAATTAGATTATAGGCCCAAGCAGAAGGACCATATTAGATTGGTCTAGTCCAAAATCACCAGATACTAACAATTTATTCCATGTCCATCTTGGGTTGAAGATGCAGGTATCACTGACTTATTTTTGCCATCTCATAGTCCTATTCCAGGCTTTTTTGAAGCTAGAATTAACAGAGGTAAACAAAAGAAAGTCTCCTGAGGAATTGAAATAATATGATGTTTCTTTTGAAAGTTTTAAGATATATGGACTTTTCAGAATATTTGATTCTAATATATTACACAAGATTCCTTTAGAAAACAACAATTGCCCTCCACTTTTAAAACAGAAAAGAAAAGAAAGAACGTCACAAAACAGATGTGTTCAGCCAGTCTTGGATTTAAGAATCCAGCTATAGAAATAGTTAAAAATAAAAGGGAAGTGAGAAATATAGTCTTTTCACTGGAGGAAACTGATTTCAACTGGTATCTGTAATGTTACAGATGTGGCTCATTTTGTCTACAGCTCAACATCATCCTGAAGCAACTCTGATTCTTCTTCATCCAGTAAGAGGCTGGGGTTTATCACTTCAGCACTGTCAATTACTTCTCCCAGTTCCTGTACAACATCGCTGCCAAGGTCGTCTCCCTGTTCGACTTGCTTTATCAAATCTAAATTATCCAGGGGAATCAAGCTGTGCCCTGGTGATCCAGCAGTCCTTGCAATTGTGGCTGCCATTTCAGCTGCAACAGCAGCCTTCTGGGCTTTTTGTCTCTGTTGTTCTTCCTGCTGGCGATGGGTCTTCATATGAGCATTGCGACTTTTGATTTTGAAAAATATCCTAATACAATATGAAAAGGGGTGGGGGGGAAGGAGTCTGTAGAAATTACAGAGGTATATTGCCTTTTCTCCAAGAATTACATTCCTTCTAGGGAAGAAGGGGTTGATCCTTCACTGCTGATAAGATACAGGTAATTCCTGAATTACAAGCGTTCCCTTATCAAATGTTTGAAGTTATACAATAAGTGCCCTTAGTGTTTGCAAACCAGTCCCGAAATTACGAATCTTGCAGCAGCATGGCAGTTGTTCATTCTTACGAACAACCAGAGGCTTTGCAACATTCGTCTTGCACATTGCCGGCCTAAATGGATCCGCCCCTCAGAAGCGTCCAGAGACCTCCCTTGGCCCATTGAAGGCTGAAATGGAGCTTCTGGATCCGGCCCACAGAAGCTCCATTTTGGCCTGCAAAGGTCAGGGGAGGACTGTGGAGGGCCAAAGGGAGCATCGGATTCGCCCCTCAGAAGCTTCATTTCAGCCAGCAATCTGCTGGGCAAGGCCTGCAGAGACCCAACTGCAGAAGGGTGCACGCAGCTGAGAGACTGGGGAGGAGACTGTTTGCTAGATCTTCACAAGACAAGTGACAGGTTGGGGGGGAAGCAATTGTGGGGAGCGTGTGGTATTTCAGTGGGTCAGCAAGACCTTGGTTGGTCTTGGGCAGGTGACCTGTTCCATCACTAAGCCACCCATGACCTTTCCCACCCTGAAATGCCTCATGTTCATTTAATGAGTCTCGCATTCAATTGACGAATACGTGGATGAAAGGAGGGAGCAACCCCGTTCAAGGTACAAGATTCACTCCCATGAATTCTCAGGTTATGAATGGAATGGGCAGGTTCCATTACATTCGTAACTCGAGGACTACTTGTATTATAGAGAATGATTTAACAGGATGGCAGAGAAGCTTGCTCTTGAGATGTTACAGGCTACCATAAGCAAGAACGCATGGGCTGTCTTGTTCAACTTCAAAACACTTGTTTCATGTATATCTCTAATCAGAAGCATGTAGTACGTCCCTAGGGATTTTGCAAGAGACCAGCCAGAATTTCAATTCACAATTATTTCAAAACAATACCCGCCCCCCGCCCCCCCAAATTAAGCTATGGGAATTATTATTTGGGGGAGAAGTGGTTCTATGAAGGAGATGGATGGTTAAAAAATGAAAGAATGTGGCATAAACAGGAAATTCCTGGCTAAGCATATTCTCTTAATTCTAATCCTGTTGCCCAAAAAGGGGGATCCTACACATTTTAAGTGTGTGAGGCTGAAAACTTTCAAGGGCATACTTCTTTGTTTCTATTTTATAGCTTTGAAAATAGAATGCTAAGGAATTTTCTACAATATCACCCAATAATTCAGTAGGGCTATAAAACTAGTGTCTCTTGCTCAGCTTTCTTAATCCCTGATACAATGAGCTAAAGATGCAGATCTCAGGTTAAAGTAGCATAAATCTGAGTAAACCTGTGGTATGCAGTAAATAAAAATTGTGGTTTGTAAACAGCATTTGCTGGATTGACATGTCATATTAAGCTAAAACAGAAACAAACCACATGATATACAGTATGAATTCCACCTCTACTTCCAGCCAAAAGAGAGTTAGGTTTGATTTATGACACCTTAACATTGTCTAAATTGTACATATTATATTTTACCACTCTATTATACAGTGATTTGGGACAGTCTTCTGCATCCTTGTTGCCCTCTGGATACTTTAGAAGTACAATTCCCAGAATTCCCAGGAAGTATGATTGGGTACCACACTGGTTCAGGCTGCATTAGAATTACTCTTATTATTGCAACTTCCTTACTTTGTTGGGGAGTGGTTTTCACTGAGTTTTCTACACAAAGTGTCACAGATTTTAATTTCTGTGTAGACATCTTTACTTACTTGCCACATTCTTTACAGGGGAAAATTGTAGGTGGGTCTGTCTCACCACTTGTTGTGCTATGAGCTGGGGAACTCTTGACAGAGCAATAGTCATTCTGAGAATTTGACTTCTGTTTAGTACCACAGCGGCTTTTGACCACAGGATTAGTACCACCATGAATACGTGCATGGCCATTCAGGGCTTGTCTGGAAGTGAAGACCTGTAGGACAAATAAATCAAAAATAGATTTTCTGAATTAAAGTTAAAAACAATCTGTAATAATGATACTGAGTTCTTCCAATGGTATCTTGCTGTTTTCTTAATTTGACCGTGCAAGATAATTTGTTTTGAACTTTTTATCTCTGACTGGCCAGTTATATGCATGAAGACAGCTTCTCCTGCATCCTCAGCACAGCTTTTGAAGAGATTGTTATTTAGCTATCTTGGCTAACAGCTATGATCAAAACCACATGCTTACAGAAATCACCCATTCACACCTTCCAAATGGCCAATGGTATCTTTACAATCACTCTTGGGCTTCAGAAACATATTTGTGAAAATTTCTAAACTAACATCCATGACAGAAGATATCCAAGTTATACTTTACTTTTATTATTCATAAGGTTAATCCCAGGCATAGCTGCTAAACCAATCATAAGCAGCTTTTTTTAGTTGCTTGGAGCCACATTCAACTTTGGAGGAAAGAAGGAAGAACAGAGCAGTTGATGGGGGCTTTGCAGAATGGGAGAATTCGCCCTAGCCTACTTGACATGGCCAACTCACCACAGACAACTCATCATGGCAAATTTGCAGCGGCCAACCCACACAATCAATTCACTTTGGGAAACTCACCACGGCCAACTTGCTATGGCCAACTTAAAATAATTAAACTAAACATTTCTTTTAATTTTTGTCATTCATATTTTATTTTGTCCCTCCTTTGGCATCCTTTTTTAAACGATTCTGACTATTTCTTCGATATTAGTGTAAAATCTTCTCCTACTGCGAGTTGTCCCATAGTGAGTTGGTCATGGCAAGTTACCCTGTGGCAAGTTGACTGCAGTGAGTTGGCTGTGGTGAATTGGCCATGGCGAGGTGTTGTAGACCCATCATAAGCTAAGTGGGGAGGACTGGGGAATGGGCAGGACCATCTTTGGGGGATTGAATTATTTTCATTTTGTTTTGTATCTTATTCCCCTTATTTACAGATTGTATGTGAATAATAATATAGGATGAATGTAACTATTTAAATATGATTCTACTACAAAATAACAGGAAAGTCTTCTGCTGTTTAAATTTTGTTATGTAGTTAGATGAATTCTGGAAGACACAAAAAAGGAATTTAGAAGCCATAGGCCTAGCTTAATTACAGAGTAACTTAAGTCCTGGGAACCCCACAATATAGTTAAAGCACCATATGGGTTGAGCATAAATTAATTAAAAATAATTTATTACTCTTGCAAACAGCTACATATTTTTCTTCCTTGTTGAAAGTTATACATCACATTTTCCTAAGAGTTCAGAGTGGCTTATATAGGGATCCTCCTTTATCTCATACACCCTCTGATATAGGTTGGACTATGTATGTGACTGGCTCAAAGGCTCCCAATATGTTTCCATGGGTGAGGTTGGACTCGTACATAGGTCTCTGATATTCTTCATCTGATATCTTAAGGCCTATGCCACTCTGGGCATCAATGTAAGAGATTTTGCATCCAATATCAATTACTGAATGCATACTATGAAGAACTGCACAGTTTAGCTGCCTCTGTATCCCCACAATTCTGCATGTGTATATTAACATATTATTAATATGATTGGTTGCAATCAACCAGATGTTTAGGCTGGATTTGGCAACTTTATCCACCTATCAAGTCCTTCCCATGGACCTGGGATAGGCAGTTGTTGTTGTTTGACAGTGTTAAATTTATCACTACAGATTGTAAGCTACTTGAAGAAAAACTGCCTTTTGCAATTGACTGATGGCGATTATGTCAATGCCTATGGTATCCAAATGATACTCCATATGTTTTGGGATTGCATCCAAGGCACCTATTATTATTTGTGCTATCACTGCTTTCTTTAACCATAGTTGATTCCTTTCTATTTACAGGTCTTTTTATTTTGTGACCTTATGTGTGTATTACTGTATTAACAATTACACTTACAGCCCCACAGTCTGGCATTTCACAGATAAAAGAGGCTGCAGGTAGTCCGAGGTTTTGCAGAGAAGGAGAGTTAATGGGTGATGCAACAGCAATAGACGGTGGGTCAGGGGAATTCTGAATTTCTGTATCCTCTTCTTTTACAGATGCTTTTTCTTCTTCAGTTTGCTCTTCACCTTCCATTTCCTCATCTTCACCGCTTGTCTAAAATTCAAAGACATGCTAGATAATGCTAGTGGATTAACGGTATAAGAAACTCTAACTGCCGATATATAGAGATGTTAAAGAAAACTTGAAGTAACTCGCATGTATCTACAGATAACCCTCAATTTACCACAGTTCGCTTTAGTGACTATTCGAAATTAAGTGACATGTGACCATTTTTCTCATTTACAACCTTTGTAGCTTCCCATGGTCATGTGATCAAAATTCAAATGCTTGGCAATTGACTCAAGTTTATCATGACTGCAGCGTCCCAGGGTTATGTGATCAACTTTTGCGACCTTTTGACAAGCAAAGTCCATGGGGAATCCAGATTCACATAATAACTGTATTGCTAATTTAATAACTGCAGTGATTTGCTTAACAGCTGTGGCAAGAAAAGTTGTAAAACTCACTTATCAACTGTCTTGTTTACAACAGAAATTTTGGGGTTAATTGTGGGCCCAAAGTCGAGAACCACCTGTTCTTTGTTTTAAGATCAATAGGTAGATCTAATATTATTAATTACTAAATAAAGATAAATCTTCTCTGATATTTTTTAAAATCTGTTTGGGAGGCGAGACAGGTTCCAAAACCATATTTAATTAGAGAGAAAACTAATTGACATCATTATTCCTTACATAATGTATTACTCAGAATAACTAAATTTGACAAGGTGCTTTCAAGTTCCTCTAATTGCTCTAAAACTGTTCTTTATTATGTAGAAAGTCAACTTCTCTGCACTGGAATACTCAAGGTAAGCTACTTGATAGGAAGTTCAATTCCTTATTCCTATATATTAATATTATTCTGACTGGCAATAGCTCTTAAATAGAATTATTTCATATCAGTTGCTTCGTGATTCTTTAAAACTAGAAGTTCCAGGTTCCTTCTGGATATAAAAGGCATGCAAATATAGATCTCCCAAGAAAATGTTCAGAATTCCAAACTAGAAGCAGTAACGCCAATTTCTATACACAGAAAAATTCTATACTACTGTGTGCTTACTAAGAACTGCAATCAATTATTTTAGGATAACACAACATACATTCTTGTAGCATGGACCAGATTATGGCATAGGTACAACTATCTGAAATGTTTCTTCTCACAAGTGAGAGAATAATCAAATACATATAAATATCTGGAAATTGCAATTTTATGTACTTCTAAACTGAAGGAAGTGAGGCTTACTGGGCATTCGGTTTTTACTTCCGCCTGCCGAGTTCTGTGCCGTCGTCCTAAATGCATGATTTTCTTCCATGTATAATAGTATTCAACACACTGTGCGACTGTCTTAGATTTCACCTATAATCATACAATAATTCAGACACTGCATTAGCACATTGTCAGCTAACATACAACATGAATATGTAGCACATATACTACACAAAAATCTCAGACGTATTCATTAGTACTGTATACTTTATTACGATTTCAAAACTTTAAGCAGTATCAAAAATTTAAACTTTGGTTTTGGATCTTAGTAACATGCTACATGCTTGACTAAAGGGTTAAACCATTTTAAACCCAAGCCAATTCCTCTTTTGAAACAGATTAAACTGTGACAGAAAGTAAATTGTTGAAAAGGGAAGAGTAAACTTCACAATTGAGCAAGGGACTAAAACGGGTGGAATTCTACCAGTTCGGACTGGTTCTATAGAACCGGTTGTTATGATTCTGTGCAGTTCGGAGAACTGGCAAATTGTGCCCCTGGCTGGCCCCACCCCTCTTCGCCCACCCCTCCGCTCCCCACCCAGTCAGTCCTTATTGCACATGCACAACATCGGACACATGCCTGACATATCTGACTGCGTTGCCCCTGCCCAGTCACTCATTAAGGTATTTTTTTCCCTGCTTGTTGACGATCAGCTGTTCTGATGATCAGCTGTGCTAGGATCCTCCTCCTCACTGTCTTACTGCTTCACCCAGGAGGCTTCCTTGAGGTCCAGGAAGTTTGGGGGGGGGGTATGCAGCACGCCCCATTTTTTGCCTTCCTGGGCCTCAGGGAAGCCTTCTGGGAGCAAAAATGCCCCCAGGAGGCTTCCCTGTGGCCCAGGAGGCAAATGTGGGGGCTGCAAAAAAGGAAGTCAAGCCCACCCAGTCATGTGGCCATGCCCACCTAGCCACAGAACCGGTTGTTAAAAAATTTGAATCCCACCCCTGGACTAAAACCCAAATCTTCACAATCTTGAGATGGATGGCTGGATGGATGCATGCATGGAAGATAGATAGATAGATAGATAGATAGATAGATAGATAGATAGATAGA